CGGGTACCCGTTTTTACACTCTAGTTCAAAGGACTGAACTACACAGAGTCCGACAGCGCAGACAAAGAACTCATCCCGTGGAGCCCAATACTATTCCGCAGCAGAGCTATTCGATGTCTTTCTGTGTCATGCCAATTTGTTTGCGCTGGCTCAGGAACACTCGCTGCGGCCGCTGATGAGGCTGACGCATAACAAGCTTCACCGGACGCTGATTCATTTCAAGCTGTTTGAGGAGAGGGTGGGTGACGTGGTGCAGCTGTTGAAGATGTGCTATGGGAATGAGCATGCTTCTGGGATTCGGGATGTGGTTGTTCACCATGCGGCGTGTCATGCTAAGCTGCTTTGGGGAGATCGCGAGTTTGTGGATCTCGTGGGGTCTAATTGTGAGCTGTCGCAGAACTTTATTACGGCTGTTATAAATTACAGTGCTTGAATGGATTGGGGCTTGTCGGGAAATTGTAGTATTTGAGTTTGCTGTCTCGGGGGTGAGGCAGCAAGGGGGTGGATTCGTGGTGTTAGTGAAGAGATTATCAGGTGTAGTGTAATTGGAATACGTCAAACTAGACTCAAGTCAGCACAATTTGAAAAGGGAGTGAAGTAACTCCACTTTTTATATCCAGGTATTCATGAGTGTATTGTGATGTGTGTGGTCTTTTACATTTACACCGTTTGACTGGTCTACCAGACGTATTGGCACATGTCGGAGTTCTTTTTGACACCCAGCCATGAGCTCTTCCCCATTGGCAGTTCCATTTGCTGGAGTTTCATGGTCAATGTGGGTACTTGCTCAGTACATGGCAGTGTCAACAGCTGGCAGCAAAAATGCCGGGTCAACATCATGCTTTTTAGTAGGAAGAGCCAAGTTCTTTGGTGCTCATTCTTCAAACATTTCTTCAATGTAGTTTTCCCTCTCCAACCCTCATCGACTTTGATTCCACGAGAGTAACGCTTTCCATGGCGCCCGAGGCAAAGTTCACGTTTACCAAGTGCGTTGCTCATCCTTTGGCCACATATTTCGAAGTGCTAATTTGACGAGCAGTGTCCCTTCATCCGAACAAATAGTGTTCGTCTGCTCGGACAACACGACAAGATGCAAAATTCACGAGCACGCTTTACTACAGCGTTTCCCTCATATGAAAAGACAGATAGAAGAACAAAGAAATGCCAACCCTGATCAAGACGTTGAATTACCATTTCAGGGTACCAAGTCGGAATTTGAAGCATTCTTCCAGTACATATATACAGGAACTTACGACAGTCCTGAGCCAATACTGGTAATTCGCAAAGCCGAGAGCAAGGACCTTGGCTGGCCCCGCAAGCCAATCGCTAAGTGCAATACCAGTAACCAAAACGATAGCCCCAAAGCAGCTGAGCAGAAAAAGGCCTGCAACCGTTGTCATGACGCTTTGTGCAAGAGTTTCCGAGCTGAGCTTTCCAGCCTGAAGGAACAAGTTCCCAACGGGGTTCACTATTCCCGACCAAACACGAATCCACACGAAAGCTACGAGAACATCTTTAAATGGCATGTCGACATATACCTTGTGTCCGGAATGAGATTCTTTTCACTGGCCACGTTGGCAAAATACAAGTTGCATCAATCACTGATCAGCTTTCAGCTACATGACCAGAGACTTGTCGACATCATCAGGCTTCTTGAGTACTGTTATGACAAAGACCGCCTGTTTTATGAGATAAGAGCAATCGTTGCTCATTACGCAGCCATCCATGTAGATAAGCTTTGGAAAATAGGAGACTTTCAGACATTTGTGAGAAGCAACGGCGACTTTGCGGGGGACTTGATGGACGTCCTTGTCAACCAACGGCTTTTCTTTGAATCAATTATGCAGTAACGCAGATACCGGACGAACATACTTTGATTTGTATACATTCAGTCTTCAGAAATTTGCGAAAGAAAAGGAGGTTCAAAGTTAGCCCTCTTTTTCCTGGTTCAACCGGAGAAGGGTGACAGGTTTTCTTTACAGCCATGGCAGCGCGGACATAAAACAGGCGCGATGGCATAATAGGAAGGAATGAAACATAAGTTTCGTAGGTCGGTAGGGCCGCCAAAAAGGTTATGAGATTTTTTACAGGTTCGTACAACAGAGGCGCTTATCATAAGAACCTCTAAAGTAGCTCAATAAAATCACTCTATAAATCTACAGCTTCCCCATTTTCCCCATTACAGCTTCGCCCTAGTGCCCTCCTCCTTCTTAACCTGAGCCTTCAACACTCTTCGCAAAATCTTACCAGACTGCGACTTGGGAATCTCCTTGACAAACCGCACACCCCCACGCAATCGCTTAGGTGGTCCGACTCTCTCGCCCAGCCAGTTGATGATGTCCTGCTTCAGCTCATCGGTTTCCTGGACGCCGGGACGTACGACGACATAAGCACGCGGCACTTCGGTGTGCTGCTCGTTGTCCCAAACACCAATAACGCAGACGTCGTTGATGTCTTCGCGGCCAAGGAGCTTGGCTTCCAGTTCAGCGGGCGGGACTTGGAAACCCTCTGTTTTGTGTAAGCACATTCCTCTTTTAACAATGAAATGGGAACTTGGGGCATGAGGAAACATACTGTACTTGATGAGTTCCTTCATACGGTCGGTGATGTAAAAGTGGCCGCGTTTGCAGGCATATCCTACGTCACCAGTCTTGTACCACCCGTCTTCCGTGAAGGTTTCTTCGTTCAGATCAGGTCTGTTCCAGTAGCCGTGGAAGACATTGGGGCCTCTGACGAGGATTTCACCAGCCTACACCCATTAGCACTGCTGACTGTACGATTTCTGCAGCTCCAAAAAAGAAAATGAAACTCACCTCTCCTCGAGGCAGCTCTTTGCCATTCTCATCCACAATCTTGGCCTCGACAAGTGGCACTAAACGTCCCACGGAGCCCTGGAATTTCCACCACTCATCTGTCAACTGTGAATGGGTCACCGGACTTGTCTCTGACAGCCCGTAACCCTGCTTCACGCCAATACTCAGGCGCTTCCAAACTGCCTCGACGAGATCCACGCCAAGGGGTGCAGCGCCAGAGTTAATCCACCGGATGGATGTCATGTCGTACTTGTCCACGACGGGATGCTTACCCAGCGCGAGTACAATTGGCGGTGCAACATACATGAATGTGATGGAGTGCTTTTCAATAAGTTTACAAGCCTTCTCGAGGTCGAATTTGGGCAAGACGATCATTTGGGAGCCGGTCTGCATCGTGACGTTCATGATGACGGAGAGTCCCTACATGGCTGTCAGTAAATAGGATATTTGGTGTTTCGTGGTCATGAGGGTCTTACGTAGATGTGGAAGAATGGCAGCACGCCCAAGTGTCTGTCCGAATCCCAGTTCAGCGCCTTGGCATCGAGCCGTGAGGTCTGGTAAGCGTTGGAGACGACATTATAGTGTGTGAGCATAACTCCCTTGGGCAAGCCAGTGGTTCCCTAATACAGTATTAATCTTCATAAACATCCGAGTTGCAAATGGCCACTCAACGTACAGAGCTGTACACCAAATAAGCCAGGTCTTTCTTGGGATCCAGCACGGTTCTTTTGGGCTGGAACCAAGCTCCCTGTGCTGTAATTTCAGTCCAGTGCTTGTGCTTGCCCGTCTCATCTCTGCCATCGCCCATGAGAATGACTTTGTCAAGCGGAATCTTGGCCTTTTGGGCAGCCTGTGCTGCCGTCTTCAAGAAGGGCTTTTGGGTGATCAGAGCTGTGGCTTTGGAGTCGAGCAGCTGGCGCGCAAGTTCGTCCACGGTATAGGTTGGATTGGCAGGGCTCGCCACACCACCAGCCCAGTGAAGACCGTAAGTCACAATTGGTGTGTCTATGCAGTTGGGCGTAAAAAGGGCAAGCACATCGCCTTTTTTCCAGTCGAACATGTGTCTAAGGCCCTTGCCGAATGCGACCGAGCCATTCTTGACGTCGTTGAAGGTGTATGAGCGGTCCGTGTCACCATCGATAAAGAGAACTAGACAGACATGTTTGTGAGTAAAGGCCTCCATCACGTTCATCAGTCAGCTCCAAGGCTGAGCTGTAGAAAGACGAACCGTGGTTATCGGGGTACTCCTTTGGCTGCTCGAAATACATTGACCAAATGTCAATAACGGGAATGTCCACCGTCCATTCTGAATGAATAGGCATCGTGGCGGTTGATACAAAGCTGATGGTGGCTTATAAATCTGATGTCTACTACCGTGATGGTCTCTAATATCAAGGCTAAGCAGCAGTGTGTCGCATAACACAATCGTAAATGGCGCGCAAGTACAAATTTCGAAATCGCAAACCACGTCCGAATGAGAATATGTGAGACGAAGTTTCCGACATGTCGCAACTGGGGCCCAAGGGTGATTTAAAGTGTAGTCCACGTTTTAGGACCTGAGCGCAAGCCACGGCGGGCACGGCGCAATGCTACGACGCCGACGAATCGAGGCCACGAACCAGGCCTCCAAAACTTCGACCAGAACCGACGAAATGGAAGCTTCCGCGTCCGGATTTACCTACACTGGTGGCTCTCGGTGCCAAACCCTGTTTATTTCCGTCCGAGAAGGGCCGGTGAAGCCGACACTCAGACTTTCGACAACATTTGTCCAACTCGTCAATGGTCGGCCACGATGTACAGCCCCGTCTTAGACCGAAGTCCTGGACCGAGGTGAAATGCTCAAGGCTCCACACCGTGGGGCAAAACCGGATCAGGCTCATTAACCGTGTTCACTGTTGCCGCGGAAGCTGGGGAGACCGACTGGGGCCCCAGGGCCTCGAAATATTGCCAATCTCCAGTTGGTTGACCCCGTGACGCCGAATGCGGGGAACAAGGCCGCCTCAGCACGGAAAGATTTGGAAATGCGTCTTCACTTTGCCTAGCGAACCCGGTGTGGTGGTCGGTGGCGGGCGTTGTGGATGTGGCCACCATCGTCACTTTATTTCCCGTGAAGTTCTAATGGTTGGTAGCGGCGGGCTGTAGCATGATTGTCTGGAAATTTTTATACATACTCTACAGACCCTTTTATCTATAAAACTCTGGCCGTATGTCTATTCCTAATCCCCTCTTAAGTATCATTCGCTATATCGGTGAATTGGTGGTCTGTACGTGTATCGTGTACCTGTGTCTGTACCACTCTGCACGATTTGACTTGAGTTGCCTTTGTCCTTGATTTGCATCACTCACCATGTCGTGTCATGCATACCCGTGGTTCAGATATCGTTGATATCCTCATATGACGGTTGTCGTTGAATCTATTCCCGGAGTCCATGCAGGTATCGCCTCGCAGCCTTCTGGGACTCTGCATCTGTCTCGGGCATGGCATGTTTTCCAGAGAACTTCGCGAATCTCGATAAAAACCTGCTCCACAGCGTCGATAGCCCAAATCACATCTAGATGCTCGTAATCTTCTATCACCTTGCTGTGTATCATCTTCACATGCGGCTCTTGCCCATTGGTAAATCGTCTCAGAAGTCGTTTGCCATCGACCAGCTGATCATTCCCACAAACCCACATGGCGATCGGTGGGACGAGTTCATTGTACCATTGGTCACTTGAAGGTAATGAGCCATTGTGCGGACCATTGTTATCCTGTTGCTCTTCAAATTGAAGATCCTCCTTCGTTGACAGGATGCATTTGTGCTTGGCGAAGCCGTCTTGGCCGAGCCACCACCTCATTGTTTCTACGCTGACATACACTGGTGCAAACTGGAAGAGACGGTTCCTCAGCCCCCGGTCCCATCTTGCATCAGACCAGTTAAAAAGAAAGGAAAAGACTTTGTATCCCAGCCAACCGAATATTGTGGGGTTCATAAGTGAATGCATTTGCATCATGAATGGTATAAAGGCGTGTATTCCAAATATGAATTGAAACCAGAATGGTGAAATGTTCCGCATAAATTTAAAGTAAAATTTGTCGATGATGGGCCCAGCGTAGGCAGCCGGAGCCAGGCCACAGAATACCGTCAACTTCTCCCCAAGCGTTGGGCACTGATCCTTTGAGAGAGCAATCAGAGTCTCGGCCGTGCCTTGCGAGTGACATATAAGTCCAAGTTTGTCAAAGCCAGTTTCTGCAAGCACTTGCGCTGTCAACGCTGGCAAGTCGAAAATGCCCATTTGTCGTATATTCCAACACCACATACGAGGATCGGTTGGAGAAAAAGACTCATGATCAGGGCTGAATCCACATCGGTTGTTGCCTAGCCAGACGTCAAACCCAGATTTGCAGAGCCAAAATGCCAAAGAGTCATCATCATTGCTGCAGTAAGCTCCTGAACTTTGCAGCAAACCATGCATTAAAAGCACCGGGAATTTTGTCTTCTTATCGCTGGACTTTAATATCTTCCCGGGGCTATTTGTATCAGGGGTCTCGGTATCGGTATTGGGCGTGGTATATTCTTTCGGGTCGTATACATGCCAGAGGTCGATAAGGAAACCATCCTCCGTGCGAACTTTGAACGCATCAACGTCAAGTCCTACTCGTCGCGCGTAGTATCCAACATCACAAACGATCTTGTCCCTGCCTCCCTCAGTAGGTGGATATTCATCCGCAGTTCCCTCCTGATCGCCGCCAATCTTCTCGGCCGAGGTTCGATGATCCCAGGCCTTCTGCTTCTGCTTGCGAATGTCTGCTCTACGAAGTTCCTCTTCGTAGAAAGGTCGCAATTTTCTGATGTCTCGTTGTGTCGACTTGTAAATAATCTTCTTGATTAGTCTTGGGATACTTGTGATCAGTGAAGCAATCACAATGAAACAAAGGAATGAAAGGCTCAAAACTGCAGCCGAGAGCCTGAAAACAAAGTATTGCAGCCTGCTCTTGAACGAGGGAGGGCCGTAGAGTGGCAGCGGGGGGAATAATGGATTGACGTCTGACAGATGATTATCATGTTGATTCTTCTGACGAGTTTCTTCATCTGCACTGTAACACAGTGTTGCAGAAGCTTGCGGCTCATGAACTCGCCTCTTGAGAAAAGACGCCGCCTCAGCATGCTCTACTGTGACTTTTTCATGATGACCACCATCTGGCACAAAGCCATTGACTTCATCCCTCACTCTGGTCGTGGCTGTCAATGGAAAAGTTGGTAATTCATCGTTATTCTGAAGCGAATGCAGGGCAGGATCTGTTATCAAGGCTTGTGTAGCAATGATCACAGACTCTGTCCGTCCCGCGTGATCCTGCTGCGTAGTTTTGCCAGCTTGGCTTTTGATTTGAATCCCAAGTTGCGTTAGTTCATGACCTGGCGCTCCGCATACCTTTTGGCCGCTAGGCTTCTTGGCTATTGATGGTTTCGCCATGTGGTATTGGCATTGGCAATTTACACGCGACGTCAGATCGTGTACAGGAACGTTGTTCTCTCGGCATACCGAAGTGCACGATACACACCAGAAGGGGGGAAAGGAGACTTATGACGGTAAGCAATCCAGCATTTGTCAATTGCACTTTCAGGGAGATTGCCTGACCAGTCTTGGAGAGGGTCAAATAGGAGTTGAAATGTGACGTCCATTCCCCCTCGATTGCTGACCGGGGGTCTCCATGCGCCATGATCCAGAGCGTGTGGGGGAGTCGTGGGGTCGGCCACGCGGACATGTGAAATTAGTCCATCTTGTCTGTGCATTGGGCCCTCTGAAAGGCGGGACTGGACTACAGGATGAGTGTTTGAAATGGGGTGGTGTTGAACATGACCATCAATGGTACGGATGGTAATAGTAACGTTGAAAGGATAGACAAGATGACATGGAGAGACTTGGGATTTGAGGAATCTAGCTGGTGGGAACTTGGAAGGAGCGGCCGTGGTGTGCTGGACTGTCGACTGCACCTTCCCTCGACCACTCTAAATCGCAAAATCCAACAGCAGCCAGCCTCATGTACTCCGCATCTAGGAGAACTTGGCAAACATGCCGACAGTCGCTGACCTCGGTGTGTCCCATCGTTCACCCAAATGATAAATCTCAGCCAGGACTCTAGGAGTGGTCGGCTGGTGGATCCTCGAAAACCCCTGCTGCTGGATGTTGCAGTGGCGACTGGACACTGAACTGAAGCCGAGGCCTACTAGTATTTGCGGTTGACGCCGCGAGTCCGTGACCCGACGAGCCGCCAACGGAAGCTGGTATCCGTCCGTTGCCGCAAGCTGACCGAGCTTGATGACTTTTGCGACCTCGATTCTGGGTTGTCTCTTACCTTCGCAGCACTCCGCTGCACCAAGCCATTGAGTGTTGCGTTTGATTCTGGAAGGGCTTCTACACGCGCTCTGAAGCTGGCCCAGCTCTACCCAAACTCCTCGCATTGAAGCTCGTGCCTGCGGGCGATGGTCTTGTGATTGCGGGGTGGACAAGCTCGACGGTATTTCAGCTCCAAGCTCCCACCACACTCTGACGACTCTGCGAATTGCAACCGCTCGGCGGCGTCGATGGTATGGCGGTCTCTGATGGCGTGAGGGCTCCATCGCGGAGGAGTACGATGCGTAGGCGGCGGCAGGACAAGCCGGCCATCTCGGCGCGACTTGTTCTCGATGATCACCTCAAGAGCGACGTCGGCATCATATCAGAAGATCTCTTCTCTGACCTCTTTCCGCACCTTAGGGATGGTATGTGATAGATACCCCGCGTATTAATCTACTCTGCGCGCTTGTCTTGCGCCAATGCTGATATGCTGTGTATCACGTACAGGCTCCGAGGACGACCGCCCGGATCGGACATACCACATCGCTCTGTCTCCGTGGTCCCCAAACGCCGCACCAGCAGAGACTGCTTGGTCCGTTGTCCCCGTCGTACGATCCTCTACACTGACTCATTCTACGGTGCAATTTTCCCCCTCGTCCTCAGCCCTCCAGAGCTTTGCCGTTGCATTGCAGGAAGTTGCGCCGTCCAAGTTGTCTAGTCATAGCCGAAGCGGCATAGAGGTACTGGTTCTGGATGTGGTCCCCATACCCCTCGAGACTGTATTTGTTAGTTTGGAGAGCGAGTCAACGAAACGGTTGGAGAATGGCGAAGGCACATTTTTCAGAGAGCACCCGGAAAACCCCAGAGGGAAGAATGTTGCCAATATGACAGCCGAGGAACGACTCATCTCTGCCATCCGATCGTCTCTTAGCAGTCTTAAAGTTGCGCACGCCGGCGACCTGTTTGCTTTGCCGCTGGCACCACATCATGTTACCCATGTGCCACCAAATCCGGGCAAAATCATGCTGTGTGAGCCAGTCGCGCAAGGTATCTTGACAGAAGAAACAAAGATTGTTCTCATGCGCGGGAGACACACAAGACACAGCCGAGGACCGGCATCCATAGCCGCTAGCCATCAGCTTAATGGTGTGGGCGAGGAGGAAGAAGACGGCAACACAGACCAATTTTTCTCAGCAGCGGAAGAGCGTTATCGAACGGATGCAAAAGCCGACGAGACTGTGACCGAAACGGAGACGGAGTTGTCCGCGACGGAGCACGAAGACGAGCTGTCCGACGATTCGATGGATGAAATGATCACTCTCGAGGCTCCAATGCTTCCCACTACGAATATGAGTGGACTCGGCACAATGCAGCCTGGCACTCCGATGACGATTGGAACACTCCGCGGCAGAAAAACAAACGGTGTCGCAACCCCTGGATCCGTCTTCTCCAACTTCACTTCAGCTACTGCTCGACCGGATCGACCTAGAGGCCGACTTTTTAGAGCACATGGACTGGTGAAACCCATCCCTTCTGACTTGCTTCACCCAAAGCCGGCTCCTGAAGATGACGAGGAAGCGAGAATATATGTCGACATGACCTCCTTGCCCAAAATTGGATGCTTTTCCGGTGACTGGGCTCGAATCGAGGTGGCGGAAGAGCCGCCTTTGAACGGATTCGGTGCTTTTGGACTGGGCAGCTTTGGCAACACGGAGTCCGAAGCATCAAACTGGCGCCCCGTCCGAGTGTATGGCCTTCCAGAAGGCTATTCTCAACGCCCAGTTACGAGGATTCCGAGTTCCCGAGCAGGCGAGAGGAGGATGTCTTTCTTTGAATCTCAAGTACAGCGACCTACAAGTCCTGCCGCATACGCATCACCTATTCTGATTGCTAATCTGGACGGTGCTACGCACTTGCGTATATCGGCTCTTAAACGATCTGCCTACCAAGGCAAAGGGACTCTTCCTCGCTTCACCAGCGCATCTCACCCACCCTACGCAAAAGACATTGCCATTCATCACATTCGAACTCCGGTTTCAGCTGAAAGAGCTTACCAGACCGCTGTGTTAGGCGGATTGAAACGGTACTTTGCTCAAAAAATTCGTCTGGTACGGTCTGGAGATTTGATTGCAGTGCCAGTCGATGCCCAACTGGGAAGAGCGTTACAGGAAGCTACTGGCATTGGCGGCTCAGAGGTAGATGACGTGATGGCATTGACAACTGGTGAGGCAAGACCAGGCCAGCCGTCTACGCGGATCGACAGCGTTGCCTGGTTCAAGGTTGGCCATATACAAATCCAAAAGTCTGACGAAGACGAAGACGGCACTGCTGAAGCTTTCTGGGGCTCGGTAAAATGCATTGACAGCTCGACCGTCGGTATGCATGGATCTGGGTTCGAGACGAGCCGTGTACCGGGAATGGGGCAGAGCTCGTGGCCATATTATCTCGGGTTAAAGAAAGCCCCAAGGCGGTCATCTGATGCTAGTCCACTAGCTGTATCAGATCAAAGGGAAAAGTTTGTCCCACCCTTGAGGCGGCAGCTTCGAGAGCTGCTCGCGGCCGGGACCAGTCCCAGGGCAATTCATCTCAAAATGCCCCCAATTGCCATTTTGTTAACATCCACCCACCGAAACATTGGCAAAGCTACACTGGCTATGGCAGCTTGTGCTGATATCGGACTTCATACGTACACCATCGACGCCTATGATATCTTGAGTGAAGGGGGCGGGAGTGGAAGTGACGTCAAGACAGAAGGTTTCCTCCGAACGCGTGCTGAGAGAGCTAGCAGCTGCGGTCCAGACTGTTGTGCTCTTCTTATCCAGCACATCGAGGCTCTCACTGCTGATAGAATCGAGGCTACGATGAAAGAGATTCTAGAAGATACCCGAGTCCTCATCGCAACCACGAATGAGGTGGACCAAGTTCCAGACGGTGTCCGAGCTTTATTTACGCATGAGCTGGAGATGGGGGCGCCAGATGAATCAGAACGAGAAGCAATTCTGAGGAACGTAGTCGACGACCGAGGTGTCACTTTGGAGCCGACGATTGATTTGAATTCAATCGCCCTGAAGACCGCTGCCCTGGTCGCTGGCGACTTAGTTGATGTTGTTGAGCGGGCATCCTTGGCTCAGCACGCGCGCCTTGAAGCACTTTCCTCTAAGAACACGCATGGCGACACTGTTGTTACGATTCGAGACGTTCAGGTTGCGGGAGGTCCAATTGCCCGGTCTCTCACGGCCGGCGACTTTGACGTCGCTGTAGAAGCTGCTCGCAAGAACTTCTCCGATTCCATTGGCGCGCCCAAGATCCCCAACGTCACCTGGGATGATGTTGGTGGTCTCAGCAACGTCAAGGATGCAGTCACCGAAACGATTCAGTTGCCACTGGAACGTCCTGAACTCTTCGCCAAGGGCATGAAGAAGAGATCAGGTATCCTTTTCTACGGCCCACCTGGCACCGGTAAGACTCTGTTGGCAAAGGCTATTGCCACAGAATACAGTCTCAACTTCTTCAGTGTCAAGGGACCAGAACTGCTTAACATGTACATTGGTGAGTCTGAAGCCAATGTACGAAGAGTGTTCCAACGTGCAAGAGATGCCCGCCCTTGCGTTGTGTTCTTTGATGAATTAGATTCGGTTGCTCCAAAAAGAGGTAATCAGGGTGATAGTGGCGGTGTTATGGATCGAATCGTCTCCCAGCTTCTGGCAGAACTTGACGGCATGTCTAGTGGAGATGATGCAGGTGGTGTGTTCGTAGTTGGAGCCACCAACAGACCTGACCTCCTGGATCCAGCTCTCCTTCGTCCTGGTCGGTTTGACAAGATGCTCTACCTAGGAGTGTCTGACACTCATGAAAAGCAGCAAACCATCTTGGAAGCGTTGACACGAAAGTGAGTATCTCAAAGTCCCATCCGATATCATTACAGACCTGGCATATAACTAATGTGTTGATTTAGATTTACGCTCCATCCTTCGGTTTCGCTGCGGAACGTTGCCCAACAACTGCCATTCACATACACAGGTGCCGATTTCTACGCCCTATGCAGCGACGCCATGCTCAAGGCAGTCACACGACAATCATCTGCCGTGGATGCGAAAGTCCGTGCCATCAACGCCGAGCGCGCGGGTAAATCTGAAATCTCTACGGCCTATTTCTTTGACCACTACGCTACGAAGGAAGATATCGCCGTCATGGTCACTGAAGCAGACTTCCTGGCCGCCAACGACGAGCTGATTCCCAGTGTTAGCGCCGGTGAGCTAGCGCATTACGAAAAAGTCCGTGCAACCTTTGAAGGAAGCCGTGATAAGCAACCTAAAGCCAGCGCCGCTATGTCGGAGAATAGAACGTCCGGCAAGGGCAAGATGAGTGCCAAGGCCCATGGCAAGCTGCCAGCACCAAGCAGGGGTAAAGGCAAAGCTCCTGCGCTAGATGTTGACGGCGACGACGAGCATGATGACGACTCGGACGCTACGCCCAGTGGTACCATTAATGGTCGGTCAAAGGGCAAAGGGAAGGCTGTGATGGGGTTTCAAGACGGGACTGCTAGTGATGACGACGGTTTGTACTAAATGACAGGGATGCGTGGCGTGAGAGCATTGCGTTTGATATAATACCCTTCTTGCAAGATGCGCTTATGGAGGAAATGTATATCATATCATTACTTGAGCTAAATTTGAGGACGTCATGGCCTGTAACTGGAGGCTCATTTATTTTGCTGCTTTCTTATAAAACTGAATTGCCCGCTGTTCTGATTGATTTCTGTCGTTATTTGCCCGCCTTCTCGGCCTTCTCACTCTTCTTCCGCTCCTTCTCATTCTCCTCTCCATCGTCCCCATCATCTTCGTCCTCGTCTTCCTTAGATTCGTCCTTCTTTGTGCTGTCGTCTAGATCCTCTTTTCCCTTCTTGGCAACTTTATCCTTCTCTTCATCGCCCCCCTCTAATTCTGGCCCCTCCTTTAATTTTTGCTCTCTCTCAATCTGCTTTATCTCCACTGGACTGGCAGCCACGACCTTTGCCCCATTTTGGGTCTTGACACCGGTCGCATCTACCGAGTTTGGTCGCCACCTACCGCTAGTTGGGCTCTGCACGGTTTCGCGAAGAGCACCCTCACCAGACTTGTTCCTCCAAGATGTACTAGTAGGAGACTGTAAGCCCGGTGGCTTTTGCTCTTCGATATCGGTCGTATTTTTCCCGTCCTCCGTCTCTGATTTAGAATCTACTATTGCGGCCTCACTCGACGACTCTGGCCCGCCATCGTCCCCCTTTTTGCCGTGTACTTTCTCACGAAGACTCTTCAGACGTAGCTGCTTTGCCTTCTGCGCAGCTTCATCGGCGACGGTCCGCATTGGCAGCGTGTTTTCCTTGCCAGACTCGGCCGGGCCATCGTTGGGTTTTGTGGCAACTTCCGTGGCAGCTTTGGGTTCGGGCATGGGCGGTGCAGGGGGAGGCGGTGCAGCCTTGGAAGCAACGGTGGTGTTGCTGGCGGCAGCGGGCTTCGCAGCCGGTTTTGAAGTTTTCGCTGGCTCGGGAGGTTTATTGTGGATATTGGGGATTGTGTGCTCGTCGTAGTAAATCTTGACGTGTTGTTTGAGTTCGCCATATTCGTTCCAGTCCTCAATCTCGACAAGATCCTGAGTGCGGAAGGGTAAATTAGCCATTGGAGGCCAAAGGGACAAATGCAAAGTTAGTGACGGGAAAGCAAGCGTACGCCTAATACTAAGCCCTCCTGCACTAGACCAGGGAGCCTCCTCAGACGGCCACCCTCATCCTTACCGGCCCTTCGGCCCCAGAGCATGCGTGCCTTCTCATCCGTGGCGATATCGACTGCCTTGAAGGGAATTCTATTGGCTCGCAAGATAGTCTCTAGCCGCGATGTAGCCGTCACGATATGTGACGAGCCGGCGGTGAGGGAGGTGAAGATGTATAGAGCTGGATCGGTTGAGTAGGTCGTCATGGTGGCTGCGGCTGGCCCAGGAGGGAGGCTTGGCAAGGCAATGAAGTCTCTAAATAGCAGCTAGATGGCCTGATAGGTTTTAGGATGTATTTTTCGTGTTGAGTACGCCTGTGGCCACGACCGTATTGCCGCAGGTGATGCATGTGCTGTCGTGCCAGTGGAGAACGAAGTAGGGATTGGACCATGGCAATAGGGGAACAGAGTCGTCAGGAAGCTCAACTGCGGGGGCGGGGCAGAAACCGAAACCAGGCCATGTGTCACCGTGAGTTGGCTCAAGAGCGGTGTCAACTCGATCAATAATGCAAAACGCATGGAACTCGAGGCAGGCTATTCTGAGAAGAACGCTCATATTCTGCTGTCAGCTGGTTGTGGCGGCGAGACAGGAATAACCAGCTCTAGAGGGTGCTGTCTCGAAACTACCTAAAGTACCTAACATACCTAGCTACCTACCTAGGTAGGCACCTACACATCTGAATAATATCTCAGTTGCAACTTATTCTTTAAACCGGTATCCGGTGCCTCATAAAAAACAATGTGCTCAGAATTATCTATGAGGCATGCCCACTACGAAACATATCCCTTTATGCGTGAGCCGGTGAGCGACTGTCGATTGATGACTAAGCAGCAAAGCAGCACCACTTGATCCAAGCTTCATTTGCCGTCGAGCTGTCAACATGCGATTTCACACGTCTCTAGGAAACAAAGGGCCTGCGGCAACCTGCACACCAGAGTGTTAATGGGCGTCATGACCACACCTTGTCTCCCTTCAATCCCATCTGGCCCTAATATGTTTCAGGGTGCCTCGCCTGGGTGTCAATACTTGTCGTGGAGCGCCTCCGCGGAACGCTTCATCAAATTACACAACCTGCCGGAGCTGGTTCTCCACGATGCCACGAGGTCAGGTGAGACGGCGCGACACCGAAGTGATGCCAGCCATTGAAATGCCGTTGTAATGCACCCCATCGGCCAGTCAGCACGACACACGTGTCAAACAGTGCTGCTCTCTAATTTCATACTCGAACATGAGGAGGATGGGGTGGCTGAAGGTGTATGTCCCACCAACCACTTGGCCATGGCCCATGGCGAAGGCCGGCGGCTGCTCAAACACCCCCAATTTACCATGCCGCCAAAGAAGCGTCGCACGTACCTGGCACGTTTCACTGACATCCAACACCAAGCAGGGATCAAATGGTGAGAATGGGCCCATGTTCGAATACCAGGAAATTAGACGGAAACCGAAAAACAAAGAACAAAAAGCTGGGGAATGATCTTGGGCTTACATCAGAACGCATGATGCCCATGGCTCCGATCTGCAATAGGCTAGCAAAGGGCCGAACAACAATGAGCAACACAACGCCGCAATTATTAGGGTGCGGAAGGGCCATGCTTGACGCAGATGCAAACGGTCAAACGTGGAGCCAGATCTCGGAATATCTGTTCTCTTTTATCAGCGTGCCGCAGTAGCAGGCGGCAAAAGGAAAGGCCATGTCAGATTGGCCACGGCTTGTACGACGGCAGTTGGCCACCAACAACGGCCGTTGGCCACCTCAAGGCCTTGGCATAAATAGTTGGCGATCAAGGCACGAGAAGACGTTCGGCACGAATCCGGCAGGCGGGCCACGATGCAGGTACCACCCAGTCAGACGAGTCCACGGCGCATTCCGTGATCCACCGTTGGGCGGCCACCGAGGCAAGATCCAATCATAGGTGGTGCCTGATAACGCCATCCAGACTCCATTCTCCACACCGGTTGGACGCCATCCGTCCCGAGCGGGTGAACGTGGGTCGTTGGTGAGGCTTTTTGCTAGTCCCCCGACCTGTCAGAGTTTTCCTGGGCTTCGTTTTCTCTCAGAACCTGAGTAATAAGTGCCTCGTCGCCGCCACCCACCTGGTACCAGTTTATCTCGAACCTGTCTTCTTCACACTTCCATCACTCACGTCCTGGTCACTCCTTGTCTGTACGACACGTCTTATCGCTCTTTTGCCAACTATCGCTTGCAATATTACGATCATTATAGTGCTGCGCATCCTGAGACCATTCCTTCACTACCAAGACCCGACGTCGCCGTACCCACCTTGTCTCTGGCAACTACCCACCTCGTAGCAGACATCTCGCGATTTTCAACATGCGTTCCGCAGCTCTCATCGCACTTCTGACCGTCGGTGCCTCTGTTGTGGCTGCTACTGAGCCCAGCATCGTTACTCAGACTACCACGACGACTCGCTTTCTCACCATCACTCACTGCGGGCCTGCTGTCACTGACTGCCCTGGGAGCAAGACCTCTGCTGTCGTTACCACTCCAGGCGTCACTCCAGGCGTCACTTCAAGCACCATTTCGAGCATCACTTTAAGCACCTCTTCAAGCACCTCTTCAAGCACCTCATCGAGCACCTCATCGAGCACCACCTCAACCCCAGTGGTCAAGACAACTGTCAAGACTTCGGTGGTTCCTCCTGCTCCTTCCAGCTCTACCTTCTACCCCGCCTCTAACACCACTGTTCCAGTTGGACCAACGGGATCTACTACCATCCCGGGAACTCCCACTGCACCTCCTGTTATTCCTACCGCTGCCGCCAATGGTTTACATGTTCAGACCGGTGCTATTGCCGCTGTTGTTGCCGCCGTCATTGCTATGGCCTATTAGGCGTTGCTCCAATGGTACTGAGCTCATGTGATCCGTTCGTAGCCGTAGCCTCTGGCTTTGGACCCTTTTTCTTTTTCTTTTCTTTTTCTTCTTTTTCCTTCACTTCGACTTCTTTCATTGATACAAGTTTTTCACTTCTGCTGTCCTATAGAAGGAATATTTTTTCTGAAGGGGATGGACGTTTGGAGGCCATTTATTCTTTATCAACCGGATCTTGGGGAACAAAATAGAGGGACTTTGTTTTTATGGCATCCACCACTGCTAGGCCGCATTTTGCAGCCTGCCGAAGCTCGCCAACATTCGAGAAATGGCGCAAAGATACCAAATTGGAAAGGAGTTTTGTTTTACGTGGCGGGCTAACTGTTTACGGCGGCAAGCTCGTCCACTACCAAGACACGGGAATGGTTTATATGAGGATGTATGACGAAAGGTTAAATGAAATTTCATCTCAAATGACTATTTCCGCCGTCTCGATGTTGCCTATGCTATTGCATACCTTGTAGTGATGTAAATTCTCGGTAAATGCTACACAGCTAAGCTTAGGTATCTCCTCATTGTGCCCTGGCCCGAGCTGAGCGTTTTAACTCGCTGCAAGATCTACTGCCGTAGCGCGGATCACGTCACGTGGCCATCTCTTCCCATCCGAACTCAACATGGATGCTCTTTCCCTTGTGGGTAGAGGCAGCCTCTCGTGGTAAGACGCAGTGGCACATGTTCATCCCTACTCTTCGGCTACTCATCGTACATGCTTTTTTGCTCGTTCTTCGTCATTTGCGGCCAGATCAGCCCATTTTTTTAGCCTCAACCGAGGTGTGAGTGTGTCCCCCGACTGGGAGTCGTATCGGATGCACTAATCAGACCCTATGGTTTTAGATGCCGCGGCGTGGTGCCAGTCTAACGTGGGCCGACAGGGCCATTCACCTTCCAGCAAACTAGGTAATCTACATCGCGATCAGCTCAAGAGGTCCCACGTCGGTTTACCACCCCCAGAGCAGGGTTTACTTCTTCCCGAGGAGTAGTAACACGTCAAATGAGACTTGCCAAAATGAAGACTTCGGCTCTTCCCGTTGCAAAGTATATTTTGGCTGACTAGCTCGAGATAGCATAGGCCGACATCAGACAGATGGCTCCCCGAATGCTATCAATGTTCTTTGAATTTCGCATTGTCTATCTTACATACAAAATCAAGCCCTCACATTCTCGCGCTTCTCTAGAGCCCCTCCTCTCTGGTTTCCAATATCATTAGCCTTTCCCTTCACTCAAACCGCCCACTCTGCCCTCATAAGCGTCGCCCCCTTTCCAATGTATAGTTTTCTCCTGTAGAGCATCCTAACTCTACAGGTGTTGTCCGTCGCCCTTTTCTTGCAGTTTCAATAATTTGATTTTCCCTCTTCGCTTCACGTTTAACGTCTAGGTGCTGTGGTTCCCATTCTGATTCTGACCCTTTGAGTGCCGTGGTGGGACCCTGCCGGGGCTGCCACCATGAGGAAAAAGGAAGAGAATACAGCTGAGCGGAAGCCGGTGCTGTCGCTCGAAATGGACAATGAGAGCAGAGACTCATGTCGCTGTGTCCCGAAGACCAGTGCCATATTTCGATTCTATGAACAAGGCTGGCCGTTTGCTACCGCCAAGGCGCAAGGTGCGCAGAGACTCGAGTTTGAGTCAGCAAGATAGGGACATTGGTGCGTCAGAGCATGAGCACACTTCTTGTTTGAGAATGATATCATCTCTGGGAAGCTGTACATTTGTACTCGGTCTTCAGACAGAGGGAGTGGTATAAGGTCCACTGAGCTGAACGGCAACACAGCCATGGTCTTGTTCCTTTGTCCCTGGGGAGCCTCTCTCATCGTTGCGAATTATTGCAGGGACGCTTTCGTTTTCATCCACCGAGGCTTGCACAACGACGTGTTTACTGCTGTTGAGTCAAACGGCTGATGGCAGTGTCGTATCATGTGTCAAAGGCTTGAAATATGACGAGTTACTTGTACCTCACGGCGTATATGGGACTCTATCTCAAAGTGGTTGACTTCTGGTGGGACGGTGGATGGTAGAATATATATATGCTTATAGGATGGAGGCCGACTCCCAGGAATTTTTCTCGGGTTAAAGACGATTGGAATAGTCGTCTTCTATCACAGAACCCTAGCCTAGTGGTTCTATTAGTCGGTCTGGGTGTCTCAAGGCGGCAGGAGGATCTTTGGCGGGAATGGCGGTACGTATATTTCGGATGACGAGATTCTTAAAAATTGCCATCCCAGCACTTCACTGACCGGAGAGAGTGGGTGGATGAAAAGTAAAGAGGAAGAGAAGCCCGACTCATTCCAACTTTCGTCATATTTTTTTTCGACAGAACCGCGGCCACACCTTCAACGAGGGGCGTGTTGGGCGCAACAGTGAGGGAGGGTGTGTACTTATGGAGTACTCCGTACTCCTGGGCGATCCCTAGCAGATGCCAGACACGGGTTCACACCGTTTTGACTTATCCCAAGAGGGCGGTCCACGCCGCCCGTCATGTCTCGCGTTGCTCTTCTAGAAGGGCGAGACAGGGCGAGACCAGCTGAAAGTCAACAAGGGATGTTTCTCAAAACAGTAACCACTGGTTGAATCGCATAATACGGCGTTTTTGCCACCGTCGGCAAGATATTGCGGCACCTCCCAATCGCGAACTGGTGTTTGCCGGCCGGCCCACGTCTTTACGGCCCCCAGGGCGTGATGCTGGAGCTGCATATTGTATGTACCCTCATACAGAGGGCAGCAAGAGGTACAAATGTATTACGATTCATACGACGTGAGCAGGATTTGTACACGCATAATTTGGCAATGGCAAGACATGAATGGTGCAGATTTTACAGCATTAATCATTAATTGCATCAAAATACGCCCCGCACAGACAGCCGGCCCCGCATTGCGCTTTTCATGCCTTTGTCTTCACTTGAGTCTCGACGCTGGCTGGGAACTACGGAGAATACCCCTTTTAACCGCCATAACGGGGTAGTCGGAGAGGATACAACATGACGGGGATCCCATGATATGTAGGGCGTGTACAAGGCAAGAGCAGGAGATGTGTGCAATTCCAGACAACAGGACGCGAAAACGCTGCATCATGTGCTCCATACGCCTTTCAAATATTATGGTTGTCATAAAAAAGGGCGGTTGCTGGGCTGGCCCCTGCCACGGCTATTACACTTCACTTTGGTCGGTTCGGTCGTACGCCATGTCATCATTACGAGGCTCCTCCAGACCAAATAAACAATGGGAGGGGCCACGAAGCATGTGTCGCGAGAAAGGAGGACGACAAGGTGCCAGAGCCTTCGTCCTGGGCCACTCTGTGTGATCAGCAAGCTTTTGCAGGTGCCAGTAGCTGTCCCTGGCCTTGGCGCAACAGAGCTTGCAAAATCCTGTACTACTCTATTAATCGCGTCATCGTCGCCTTTTTCAATCCCCAAGCACAGAAGCCGGCCATCATACCGACCACGTCACTTTCGTTCATCGGGAGAAAGTGCCGTTCTGGCAAACGGCAAATGACGCACCGCTCTCTTTTCGACAAAGAGACGGCTTCCTCTTAGCAAGGACTGAGCGGACAAAAAAAAATCTGATAGATGATGACCTTTGAGGTCCTGGCCATCTGGGAGCATGCAGACTGATTGGATACGACAGTGGGGAGACGATGCTTCAATGCAAGTCACACGCTCTGGTTCTTATGCATATTCAGAATCCTTACTGACTTATGACCTCTTGTCCACTATTGTTAGGTGTGCCAGCTATCAAGCAAGTGGCCGCAGCGGTCTTTTGTCCACCACTGGAGGGCACCAATTCATATCCAATGCGCTCCGAGCATAGTAATGGGCGAGCCGTTGTTGGTGGCGGAAAGTCAATTGGCGCCTCGGATCGGGCTAGTACACGCCAATGTCTCGAAAGGATGAGTAACAGCCGGGGTGACGATGTTCGTCAAGGGTGATCGCTTCATCTCCGGTTCTACTCACCTAGCCACGCGGCCCACGCCCCTCCACGTTGCGGACTTGGCCGTGTCTAATAGTAAATGGGCCACCGGGCCAGTGCAACACAGGATGGAATTGGTACGTTTGTACATGCGCCAAGGTGGGAATCTCGCGTGGCCGCCATGCTCCGTGAGGTCCCGAATAAGAACTCACGGCCGTGGGGCGGCGGCCAACGCATATGAGAATGCGCACAATTCAGCACGTCACGACACGGGCATCCGACATTTGGCTCCAACGCCGCAGGCACCGCCAAAAACGCGGTGCGGTATGACAAGGTCCTGAGCTGACTCCCACAAGGTCTGCGGCTAGATCCTTATTGTCCTCGCCTCGCCTTGCTGCACATCCTTGATTCCTATCCTGCATGTACCAGTAGTATTCATACTTGCGAATCCCCAATTGTTCTGGCCCCATCGGCTTGACGATATACCTTTCCTGCCTGATTGGTATGTATGGCTTCCTCCTACTTGAGACTTATGTGCGCGTTTGGCCCTCGGTAGCGACGTATCGCAGCTTCTTCACCGTGCGACACGTGCACGAGATATGTTGACACCTTTCCCGCGTATGCATCCGCGGTCCTCTGCTGCATGCAAACCATCACTCCAATGGTCAGAAGTTGATGAGATATTGGTCTGTACTGGCTTACACTGACTAGGAAGGTGACGCTTTGTCGGGTCGGATCGCCCACGTGTTACCACACAGCTGCAGTAACGGAGTCATGAGCGGTGACAACACAGGATACGTGTATCTTTACAATCAAAGGTGAGCAAAACCTAGCCCCTGCCAACGCCACAGGGCACGGTTGGTCAGAGACAATGCCGGAGCACCGGGATGTCAAACAGCTTTATCCAACGTCAACGTCACTCGTTCATCTCAAGTTGCAGCCTATCAGTGGAAGGGCGCTAATGGATCACTGATGCCCTCGGCCAACAGATGACAGCGCTATGATTATTGTCAATGCCTCTACGATACCCATAGTATTCAAAAGGCTGATATATCCCCCAT